TCACACGCCTACTTCAGTCAGCTGGGAGATTATGATGGGGGGAAGAGTGACTGTACAGTGGTATCGGATAGCCCAACACTGCATGACAGGTACAGTCTGCCAGTGAGACAAGCAGTGGGAGATGGGGCGGCGAGAGCATGGCGTATTCCAGCCAATGCAACCGGATTGAGATCGACACGCTCATGCACACGTGAGCAGCGGACGGACAGACCTATTACGTGCTCAATGGCCAAATAACAGACACTTAAAGGGCTATAAAAACAAAGCCTTCCTAATGTTAGCTTACATTTTGACAATGTTAGCAGGAAGCTAACAAAAGCTTAGTGCTTAATAAAATTTTCTGTCCCAGAGATCAGTGTGTTAGTATGCCTTTTTTTATAGATACTGTGTTGTTAATAGTATTAAGGTTGCTGTTAAGAAAAAAAAATCATATACCGACCTCCAGGACATTCAGAGGATTCTGACGGCATTCTGGTTAAGGAGATAATCCAGATGACAATCAAGGGAGAAGCTGTAATCTGGGCAACTTCAACATGCTCAAGATTAACTAGAATCTTTAAACTGCACTTACAAGGAGGAGCAGAGATATGTTAAAGGAATTAAAAGCTGCTTTTCTTTAAAAAGGCGCATGAACAGGAAAAGGCAGCCCCTTTGATCCCCAAAGTGTACCGGGACTTTTGAGAAATATTCAATGAGCGGGATTCAGATATATTACCCCCATCCCCACCCCCACTGCCCCACAGACTGTTCCATAGAGATATTGCTAGGAGCAAAATTACCCAAGCCAAAATTATATTCTGTGACCCAAGGGTATTAGACAAACTCCTATCCTTTATAGATAAGAACATAGCACAGGGTTTCATTCAACCAGCAAAATCCTACATGGCACCATATATACTATTTCACAAGAAAAAAGACAGGCCCCTTCGCCTATGTGTGGATTACTACGGCTAAACTCCATTTGCGTTGAAAACATCTCCCCTTTTCCATTGATGAAAAACATGCTCTCCCATCTAGCCAAAAGGAAGATCTTCACAAAATTAGACCTCAGGGAAGCACATTACTGAGTATGCATGAAAGAAGGAAATGGGTGGAAAATAGCCTTCAGTTGCCCCTTAGAGTACTTCCAATTCTGAGTGTTGCCTTTTGGGCTACAAGGGACACCTGCAGTCTTCATGTAATTAATTAATGAAGTTCTGCATGAACATTTGTACTAATTTATTTAGCTGATATTTTGATTTACACTGAAACTATGAAGGAACATGTGAAGCTGGTCAGAGCAGTACTGAAAAAACATCTATGTCAATTATATGCAAAACTCTCCAAATGCGAATTCCACAAGGATAAGATCAGCTATTTGGGATACCACATTGCCCACAAAGGGGTGGAGATGGATCCTGAAAAGGTGCGAGCAGTAATAGAATAGAACAGCTTCAAAGCTTCCTGGGATTTGCTCGCTTCTATTGGCAATTCATTCCCTCATTCACCCAAATAGTGTTCCTTATTACTAACCCCCTAAAGACTAAGGGAGTGGGAAAAACCTAAGCTGAGCCAGTCCCTCAAATGGACAATGGAGTGCCAAGTGGCTTTGGAAAAACTTGAACGCCTATTTGCAGCTTAGCCTATGCTAAAATACCCAGAACCAAATGCAAGCTGATGCTAGCGATGTGGCAGTTGGGGCTGTCTTCTCCAGAAAAGCAACTAAGGGACTTTGTAGCAATATGCTTACACCTCTAGAAAACATTGGAGTGCAGATGGGCAGTCTGGGAAAAGGAAGCTTATGTGCAGTGAACTTTCCTCACCTGGAGACACTTTCTAAAAGGCAGTACAGCCCCCTTTGAGGGGTGGACAGATCAGGCTTTGAAAACACTTTGTAAATATACTTGCTCCACATACACTTAATTATTTTCTTAATCAATACTGATTCCTATGTTATGAAGCAACTTAAGACCACCATTGAAAGTCATAAAAATTTCACACGCCTATAATGTGAAATTGGCTAAATAATCTTGCATTTTGCCTCTGAGTAAACATATTAAAATAAATATTTCTCTATTAAAATTATTATTATGGTTCATCAGTCAGCCTGATGCATAGGCTGGATTTGGTATTGTTATATACACAACAATGTGAAATCATAGCTGGTGCTTCTATATTAACATGGAATGTAGAAGAATGGAAAAACAAGCTATGTGATCTACCTGAATTTCTGTACAATTTTGGTCTGATTGCAGTATAAAAGATCTGTTTAACAGCTGGGGATGAATAAAACTCGATATTTGGCTAACTCCTGGGTCACCCCAGCACAGAAAGTAAAAGAGAAAGACCATGCAATAAAGGATCTGGCCTTATTAATCAAGGAAGAACTGGGATGGAAGGGCGCAGAAAAGAAAAGACCGTAGGTGCCTCTTCACCTTGTTTGCTTATCTGTTAAATCTAATATAAGGCCTCTATGATTGTGATCTTGTTTCTCATGCCTAAGGATGCCCATAAGAACGCATGGTTTCCTACAGGAAAAATTAGCACCAACAAAGAGTCAGACAAGAGTGTATACTTGCTCCCATTCTTTTTAACCTGAATATTAATGACATCCTAAAATTCCTTCATTCTACTGATATATGCCTAAAGTTAAAAATAAACATGTAAACATTCAGCTTTATGCAGATGACATGTTATTGATGTCACTCATATGGTGCAGAACTGTGGGGATATATAAATGCCTTCTTACTGCAACAGATACAATTTACTTTTCTGAAAAGTATTTTGGTCTATAGGTCTATATCAGCCCCAGCAGAAAGGCAGAATTGGGCATACCTCCATACAAAGCCATTTAGTAATTAAGGTATTTAATTACTGGCTGAAGATCTTATTCATGGACCCAGATAGACTGTTCAGGTTGTGCTTTGAAGAACAATTACGTAACAAGCAACAATTACATAACAAGCAACATTTGAAAGTTGGGCCACCCAACTTTCAAATGTCATCTCTGAATATGGTTTCTCCATCCAGTTCCCAGTCCAATCAGATCTAAAGGCAAGGAAGCTTTCAAGAGTTATTAATGTGGCTGCTCAAGATGTATTGCAGTACTGAAATGTGTCAAGTTTTTTAAGTGGCTGGCTCAACACCAATTACATGCCTCAACATCCCAGAAGTCCTTTTTCTAGAGTTCGACTTGACTGGAGTTTTCATGGAGTCTCAATTGAAGAAAGATTGTGCATTTCTGAAGCACCACCAATTGAAGACACTGGACACATTTTTGTTGACACTAAATTGTACACTTAAGAAAGGGCTGCTTATTTAGACCCTTAATTTAAAAACTAAAAAATATTGGGAGGTACCTGGGAGAAAGCAGTCTTGTTTATTTTAGGGAACTAACCTGCACATTATCAGTAATCTTTATTTCAAAGGCCATCTCAAAGAGGACAGAATATCTTGATCAGATTGGGTTTAATTCTAGGGATGATTATCTGTTATAAAGTTTTCTTTTCTTTTTACATATTTGCATTTTTATATCAGTTTTATATATTTTATATAGTCAATTATTAAAGTTCTCTTCTATATTGCCTTATACTATCTTATCTTTTATCTTCACTTTATTTTAGCTATTAGATTTTATTCTATTTTATCTCACTGTAGCTATTTTAAATTACTTCACTGTAATCTTTTTTCATTTTATTATATCTTACTGTGGTTGATGCTCATGTTTGATATGGTCAATTGACTAATCAATAAAGTATCATATCGCATTGGGATTCTCCTGGTACATTTAACTTCTGATGTTTTAATTAGTCTTTTGTTCTTTTTGAGAAAAAAAGTTTCTCATTTGTATTAATAATTAAGATTGGGTTCAGATAGGCCACACACAAAAAATGTTGCAATGCAATTAGTTTGCCAAAAAGATGGAGGAAAGTGAGATCTTATGAAAAAGCTATCTTTAGAGAGAGCCCTATGTTCTTATGTAGGATCTCATGCGATTTTTGCCGTATAATTTACATTAAAAAGGTGCTTAGCAAAATTGACTGAAGGTATTCATTTTCTGGAAAGATTGCTGACCCCTTTAATTAAAAGTATCTGAAACCCAAATAATGGAAGAGCAATATTAGTATCAGGTCTGTGGGTTTTATGGAAAAATATTATACACAGAAAAAAATAAGCATTTCCTTCTCTCTATCCTTTCTCCTTCATTCAAAATCTGTTTTCATTAAATGGAATTTATTTTAGAGCAGAGGTGAGGAATCTATATTTCTCTGGATGTAGCTCAACTGCAGCTCTAAGCAGTTAGCCTATTGTGAAGGATGGTAGGAGTGGTAGTTCATCATCTGCTGGTTACCATAGTTTCCCCATTCTTGTAGATTTTTTTCTTTAATATCTTTTGATAATATATAGCTTGTGTCTCATGTTAAGCCAATGAGGGATCACTTTATTGAGAATCATAAAGGTAAGATAAATAAAATTACTACATAGTTTTTTTTCTTATCATAATAGTCCTGAGAACTCAGTTGTGTATTACAGCATATCATGTTTCGTAACCATAGTATACTGCTATTGGTTTGGGGAAAAGAAATGTAATTGTGTATTCAAGAGTCAGTGTATGTGGAGAACAATAGTGCTCTTAGATAATTCTAGACTCTGAATTTAGCAATCTTGTGTGTTTTTGCATGGGGACTTTTAAAGGTTATCCAATCTTTCTAAACTGGGATCTGCTGGATGTATTAGATTCTTCGATTCTTCTCCATCAGTATGGCCAAAATGATAATATGCTAAGGATAAAGGGGAGAGCATAATACCACATATGCGGAGGTCACCAAGTTAGGAATGCTAGTGGGAGCCCATCAAACAGAACATAAATGTGTTGTGGCAACCTTGCCAATTTGGAATCTAGTTGTAAGATCTAATGTCTGCCTTTGAGTATAGCCTGCTTAAACTTTATTACAGTGCAGTGTGATACAAAATTCCTATTCATCATTAATCTTTCTAAAAATGCCTTCTCTCTTCTGCAGTGAAGATGCTTTGGAACTCACCATTATGCCAAAAGATGAGGATATTCTGCAACTGGTGAGTTGTTTGCTAGGGCCAAGAGATATTCTCCTGAGTGTTGACTGGAGAGCAGGTTGGGCTTGATGATATTTTCACCAAGTATTTTTTGAGGGTTTAACTATACCTATACATACATATGTATATACTCATACAAACATACACAAATACACAAAAACACATAGGTGTCTATTGATTTGAATGGAAGAGAACCTTCAGGGATGAGGCATTTGGGGACAAAGAATGGTACATGAAAGCCTTCTATTGTGAATGTTCAGAATAAAGAAGGAGGGCTTAAACAGCTTTGTTTATCATTCTCTACTAATTCTGTATTCTGAATTTCTTATTTCTGAAACCGGTTAAAAAAAATCTGGTTTCTATGTACGACACATAGTTGGGTCAAAAATTAGATTGCAACAGCCAGAATATAGTACAAGTAGAGTATTATTTGTACAGTATAGTATAAATAATATAGGCAAGTTCCACTCCAATATTATAATTAATGTTTTAGGGAAGAGTGCTGAATAAGAATACATCATTTAGCAAGATATTTGTGAACAATCTCCCTTGTAGTTATATGCCTTCCCAATGTTCAAGGTTTTCCTCCTGTGACTTTTAAAATGAAGCTGGTCTTCCATTCTCACCAGAAGATGTTTGTGTCTTCATATATATGGTGAGGGAAAAAATTATTTGATCCTGTGCTGATTTTGTACTTTTGCCCACTGACAAAGAAATGATCAGTCTGTAATGGTAATGGTAGGTTCCAATTGTAATGGTAGGTTATTTTACCAATGAGAGACAGAATAATAACAAAAAAATCCAGAAAAACGCATTTCAAAAAAGTTATAAATTGATTTGCATTTTAATGAGTGAAATAAGTATTTGATCCCCTATCAATCAGCAAGATTTCTGGCTGCCAGGTTCTTTTATACAGGTAACAAGCTGAGATTAGAACATTCTCTTAAAGGGAGTGCTCCTAATCTCAGTTTGTTACCTGTATAAAAGACACCTGTCCATGGAAGCAATCAATCAATCAGCTTCCAAGCTCGCCACCATGGCTAAGACGAAAGAGCTGTTCAAGGATGTCAGGGACAAGACTGTAGACCTGCACAAGGCTGGAATGCTACAAGACTATCACCAAGCAGCTTGGTGAGAAGGTGACAACAGTTGGTGTAATTATTTGCAAATGAAAGAAACATAAAATAGCTGTCAATCTCCCTCGGTCTGAGACTCCATGCAAGATCTCACCTCATGGAGTTTCAGTGATCATGAGAACAGTGAGGAATCAGCCCTGAACTACAGGGGGGATCTTGTCAATGATCTCAAGGTAGCTGGAACTATAGTCACCAAGAAAACAATTGGTAACACACTACACCATGATGGACTGAAATCCTGCAGTGCCCGCAAGGTCCCCCTGCTCAAGAAAGCACATATACAGGCCTGTCTGAAGTTTGCCAATGAATATCTGAATGATTCAGAGAAGAACTGGGTGAAAGTATTGTGGTCTCTTGAGACCAAAATTGAGCTCTTTGGCATCAACTCAACTCACCGTGTTTGGAGGAGGAGGAATGCTGCCTAGGACTCCAAGAACACCATCCCTACCATCAGACATGGAGGTGGAAACATTATGCTTTGGGGGCATTTTTTCTGCTAAAGGGATAGGACAAGTTCACCAATAGACAGAGCCATGTACCGTCAAATCCTTTCCTCAGCCAGAGCATTGAAAATGGGTTGTGGATGAGTATTCCAGCAAAGTGGCCTAGCCAGTCTCCAGACCTTAATCCCATAGAAAATCTGTGGAAGCAGCTGAAGATTCAAGCTGCCAAATGTCAGCCTCATAAAACCTTCTTGTCTTGGAGAGGATCTGCAAACAGGAGTGGGACAAAGTCCCTTCTGAGATGTGTGCAAACCTGGTAGCCAACTACAAGAAATGTCTGACCTCTGTGATTGCCAACAAGGGTTTTGCCACCAAATACTAAGTCCTGTTTTGCGAAGGGATCAAATACTTATTTCTCTCATTAAAATGCAAGTCAATTTATAACTTTTTTGAAATGTGTTTTTCTGGATTTTTTTTGTTGTCATTCTGTCTCTGTTAAAATAAACCTACCATTATAATTATAAATCGATCATTTCTTTGTCAGTGAGCAAACATACAAAATCAGAAGGGGATCAAATATTTTTCCCCCTCACTGTATGCATGTTTGCATTTTGTAACATTGCCTATAGTTTTAATTTCAGCTAAGGTTTATTGGAGATAATATTTTTGACTGCAAGTAGTGAGAAAATAGAATCTTTTCTCTGGGCTTTGAAGCTTATCTTCATAGATAAAGGATTAGAAATTTGCTTTATTTTTCCAAAATAAGAATTAAAATTTCTAGGCATTTCATTCTCGAAATTATGCTATACTCTATTCCATAGACATCTTCCATCTTCACAACATCTTCATCAGGATCGATTTTGTTCTTACAACATGATTTTCTTTTTGCAGAGGGAACTATTATTTTCATGTTATACACTAAGATTCAGTGACAACTATCTTGCTCATGTTTCCTTGTGAGCCCCAAAAGCATTTCCTCTTCAACAAACTGAGAATGCCAAAAGACTCATTCTTTCAAGGTTATAAATAATATGAAGACAACTAAGGGATTTACAAATTGAATGAATATCTCAGGTAGCTAAGATCAGATACACGGAGCATAAGAGCAAACAAAGAAAACACTGTACCATGTCCATGATTTTTTTTTTTTTAACTGAGCAAACAACAAAACCCATTTTTATTGGGGCCTTAGAAGGATGTAAAAGCTTTGGGTTCTCCATGACTACAATTCTAAATGAGGTGGTATTAAAGTCAGGGGGTTAAAGTAGAGCCTTATGTTTGTTTGTATCATTTAACTTGGTGAAGCTGACTGGCTTCAGATGTTGCTGCCATAGAAGTATTAACATCTTTTCAAATTGGACCAATTGACCATGGCTCCTAGGAGTTAGAGCTGAGCAATATTGGAAGGCTGACAGATTCCCCATTCGTGTTTCAGAGCCTTGAAGATGTATGTTGTATTAATTGCAAAAAACAGCAGGAACTTTTGATAATATTTTTTCCCTTTTTTGCTATTTCTTTGGCTTTATTTTTCACCTCCTTGTTATTTTATTCTTTTTTCTCTTCAATTCAAAAATTCAAAAAGGGCATTTTGGAATTGTATCGAGTATTACTCTGCCTACAATTAAACATTGGCAGAAGGGTTTACAGCCAGAGATGCAGTAACTCTAGGTCTGTGCAAGGCGCTGTTACCCCAAGTTGCTTTTGCTTTTATACATCTCACAGCAAAGGAACCTTTGTATGGGTTTCCCCCTGTCCTGGTGCCTCACAGGGGTGTGTCGGCATTCCTGTGGTGCGGAAGCCGGCTTAGCCAGCCAATGAGAGAGCCTGGGGTTACAGAGTTACTCTTGACAGGATGCATGAAAAGACATTCTTGGCTCTCTTCACCCCTCCCACATTGAGGCGTCCTAGTTTATGTCATTTTTTTTTCCCTGAAAGCAACATTTAAAAGGAAGATTGAGAAAGAGAAGAAATATTAGCTTGGGCGTTAGAGATTTCCAGGGGAAGGGAACATTTCTCTTTTTGAAGAAGGGAGATCGAGAATGCGCACAAAAATACAAGACTAGAAATAAAACAACAGAGAAGACAAAGGTAACGATTTTAAATTCTAAGTATTTCATCCTCATAAGAACAAACATTTTGCTATTTATATTGGGCCATATCTTGCCCAGATCTAAATCCAAAAAGGCAGAATTTGGATTTAAGGAGAAGCCTTGCCACTTCTGAGCAGCATGTAAAATAGAGTATGCATATATTTTAATGGACTTGTTATCCTGCGTCAGAATTAAGCAAGAGGAGTTGAGTGTTTAATTAACTTTACAGGAACTGCTTCCAGGCAGAAATAAACAAATACCAAATAGCATAGTAACTAGCATTTTCTCTTTTGTTTTTTCTTTTCTTTTCTCTTTTCTTTTCTCTTTTCATTCTTATGGCCTCTTTAAGCCAAAGTTTGGTTTAAACATAACTCCTTTTTTGGAACTTGACAAGTCCCTGGCCTGAAATGTGGTTTCATTTAACAAGGGCAAGTTTCCAGCGTGTGATAGAATGGCTAGGCCAGAGCATTTGAGAATTTTTTGCTCCTCAGCATGCTATTCAGACTTTATTATTATCTAACAAAAGTCTTTTCATGGTTCACAGTGGTAGGTTAGGAAAAAGAGGCATGTGTGAGGTGGAATAGAAGCCACACCGGTATTCTTCCAGGTCATCTCTCAGCGAACCTGACCAGACATTTTTCACTATGATGCAATTTACTTTTCTTTGCACATGTAGGATTTTCTACTATGACTCCCAAGTTGCAGAATGTTAGTTGTGAAATGAGTCAGCCTGTTTTTCATTCTAAAGTTCAAAGATTTATATGTTTCTTAGTTTTCTTCCTTTCTCTTTAATGAGAGACATAGCCTTATCCTGATACCTAATGGTCATAATAAGTTGCTCCAAAGTATATATATAGCATCCATTTCTGTAAGGATTTTAAATACTAGCAACTCCCTGGCAAATCTCCAAAGTTAATTTCAACTTTCCTAAACTCCAACTATAGGAAATCTGGTGGTTGAGGAAGGAGAGAGGGAGTTGACTTTAATATTTTAAAACAGGTTTGTAGAATGGTATGCTTAAATAAGATGAAAAATAAATACAAGACTGCAGTGCTATGTTTACTTTGGTGGAGCATGCAGCACTAAACATTAACATCTCTAATAGAAGTTAAGAGGTTCACTTTTCAGAGTATTGGGGCCTTGTTTTGGAGAGTTCTGGGGAAGTCGCTCTTGGTGGCCAGCCCCTTTAATATTTTCCATTTCTTGGGTTTATTGTCACCTTGCTTGCCAGAGAACTGACAGGCAAGTAACATATCTTGAGTTGTCTTACACTGTGAGATGGGTGGCATATCAATTTAATAATAAATTTTAAAAATTTCATGGTTCTTCCTTAGTTCTATAATTACAGTCATGTTTCTTGCCTTCTCAGAAAGCCAGTAAAGAGAAGTATAGATAGTGGAATACCAGCTACTCCTTTTCAAAAATCCTCTTGGATGCTTTTGCACCCACAATTGTACTTTTGCTTCTGTTTTGTTGATCAAATTGACATACATACAAGCATGCCAAAAACGAAAAGTTGACATTGTTCTAAAATAATATGAATTAAAAGAACAATTCCTTTACTGCCTAAATTGATTGAACTGCTGTGTAAACATCTGGTGAATTTATAAGTACGTTGTAAGGAAAACATTTGTGACTATAGCAGTGTGCAGGAGCATCGTATTATCTAGAAACTGGAGGGTTTCATGGAAGGTGCAGATAATAGGGTATACTGGAAAGAGGATCATGAAGCTGAAGAATAATGATGCAAACAAATGTGAAGGTCTAGAGGAAGACAAAGAAAGATACTCAAAGATTAAGTTCAGCATGTGTGGGATGTATGCTTTGTACAGAAGGAGGCACAGACAGCAAATTATAAAAGTTTAAAGTGCTTCCATTTTTAATTTCCAAAAATGGTTTGCCTTAGATCCCTAGTATTAGCAGCTAGTTTTGCTAGAGGGACAAATTTTGAATAAAATATGATCAGTTAACACACCTGTCCTCTAAAAACTATAGTTGTAGTTTTCCTTTATACTGCAATTCCTGGCTCCTTTACTGTTGCTGACTTGGCATCTGGATTGCTAAGGAAAATATTTCTGACTGCTAGAATTGGCCTTAAAGTATTCCATTGCTGAACTGCAATATGTAATGCTAGAATACACAACCACATCTGAAATATGACATCCTGATTAACAAGCTGGTTAATTGTGGGTTGGATGGAATGTTAAATGGATGTGTAGACAGTTTGAAAATCCTATTCAAAGAAAGCACAATAATATTTCTTCAACAAATGAAGTGCTATAAGAATTAGTTCTAGGTCTTCTACATTTTCATTAATGATTTGAGTGAAGAGGTGTGGAGTGGGGGATGGTTATCAAACTGAAAAATTATACAGAATTGGATAGGAAAGCTAATACACTAGAAGTCAGAATTGCAATTTTGATTTTGTAAGTTGGAAAACAAGCTGAAAATAATTATGAAATTTACAATTATAAAATTGTTCATAAACTAAAAATTGAAACCAAATTGAAAAATGCAGCATTGGACATAATTAGCCTGTCAATGGTACTTGTGGAAAAAATGGAATAATAGTTGATTGTAAACTTTGCATCAACCACCACTATAATATAATTGCAAAACAGACAAATGCAAATATTAGATTTCATTAAATGAAGAATAATGTTCAAATTATGGAAAATTAAGTGTTCTACTTGTTTTTGTTTTTGTCAGATCTGTGCCTTATGCATTGTATCAACTTCTGGATATCACACTTTAAAAGAGATTCTGAAAAATTGAATACTTTCATCAAAGATGATAAAGAAACTAGAAACTAAGCCCATGAAGAAATTTCATATGTTTAGTCTTGAGAAAAAGTTATTTGAGAGGGTGGAATGTGATAGCACTCTTCAAATATTTAAAATGTTATATGGACAAAAAACTTATTTCAGAGTGGTGAATATGATTGATTGATTGATTGATTATATCTAAAGGTCTCCCAGGTCTAAAATGATTCTGGGTAACTTACAATGTAAAATAGATAAATAATTAAAAGGAACGTAACAAATCACTGATGGTGCTCCAAAACCATCCTACCTGAACTTCTGTGAGAATAACCATGTTTTTAAAGATCTCTGGAATATCACTGGGGTTGGAACCATGCAAATTCCTGCAGGGATATCATTTAACTTACAATTTAATCTAAGGAAGGCAAATTCCATTGAATATTACAAAAATGTATTTATAGTAAGAGCTGTTCAAGAGTGAAATCATTTATGCAGAGAGGTAGTTTTCCTTTCAACTGGGACTAGACCAGTGGTTCTCAACCTTTTTAATGCCATGATCCCAACCGGTCGTAAGTCGAGGACTACCCAACCGGTTGTAAGTCGAGGACTACCCAACCGGTTGTAAGTCGAGGACTACCCAACCGATCGTAAGTCGAGGACTTTCCCTGCCCGGGAGTGCTGCATATGCATGGTGCCGCCCCCTGCGCCGGCTGAGGCGTAGCTGGCAAGCGGCAGAGATGGCGCAGGCCGACCACCGGCTGGGCCACCAGCTGGTCCAGCCCAAGGGAGGTAAAGCACCCGCTGGGCCCCACATGCGCCAGCAACCCTCCCTGCGCCCGCCGGCCTCCCACTTCCCACCCCTGGCCCTCTTTTGCTTACATTTTTAGTAGTTGCTCAGCAGGGAGGGGTGGAAACTTCCATACAGCTCGCCTTTGCTGAAGACAACTTGCAGCACCGTTTGCAGAATGGGACTTTTGGCGGGCTCAGCAGGGCAGAGACAGTCTGGACAATTCCTATTGGCTTTTGAAAGCCAATAGAATTAGACTCTATTCAAGAGAGTTTATTCTATTGGCTTTCAAAAGCCAATAGAAGGGGGGGAAAGGGGGGGAAAGGCGGTCTGCGTTGTTTGGCGACCTCCGTGAAATGGTCGTTCAACCCCAAATGGGGTCCCGACCCACAGGTTGAGAACCACTGGACTAGACAGTTCCTGCTCTGAACAAGAGTTTGAACTTGATGGCCTAAATGATCAATTCAAAATCTGATTTTTAAAATTGATAATTCACAGAAATAACAATAAAATATAATTTAAGTACTCCATGATTTTAAAATATATTCTTCATATAATTTGTAATCGATTCACCTGTATACATAAAGATTTGATCAATAACTCAGTTTTCTAGTCCAGTCCTCACCCATTTTTCCATTGTTCCTTTTTCCAGGCATATTCTCAAGATGCATACTTAAAGGGCAATGAACCATACTCTGGAGGGGCACAGAGCATTCCTGAGCCACCACCTATATGCTATCCTCGTAAAAATTATCCATTTCAGTCAAGACGGGATGTTTCAACAGCTGAAATTTACCAGGGGCAACAGGTGGATAATAGGCAGTCCTACCATTCAGGGTCCTCAGGCCCATCTTCTCCTTTGAATAATACTGCAGTTCACAAAACTCATCTAAGTGCCTGGACTGAATCCAAACAAAATTTTGCTAGCAACCATTCCAGTCCTGCCCACTGTACAGAGGAAGTACAGTATGGAATGACTCAACGAGCACCTATTCCCAGGCATATCCCAGCTTCTGGTTCTTTCTCCCAGTACCCCAATAGCAGTTGTCCAGGTTCTGTAATCTCCCCCTCACCTTACATTCCTCCGACTTACTCTATGCCCAACCATAGCTGTTATGGACCCCCCAAACATCTTCCTGATCATCACTCACATGGTGGATTGAAGGATGCACATCGTGAGGGCAGGCCCTCACGGGAATGCATTCGAGCTGGACCCAAATCTATTAGCCATCTAGAATGCCAGCAGGCCTTGTCCAATTGGATCTCAAGTCAAGTACCACGGCGAAGCTCTTCAGAGGAGCGGTGCAGTGCTATGCCACCTCGTTACCGAAGTGTATCACAAGACCATCTGGGAGATGTTCCATCCTCCCGAGGATGGTCTCATAGTGCTTCCCAAGAAACTTTAATCCAGTCTTCAGCTCATGATAACTGGAGCTACCGTGCAAGATCAGATAACTATCTCATGAAATATGGGCAATCCATGGAAGCTCTTGAACAGGCTGACTTGGTTTCTCCTAGTTATGGGAGGTGCATATTGCCATCAGACAGGTTTTACCAGCATGGGCAAATTAACCGAGCCCAGCCTAATCATCCAAGTACTTGTATTCCTTCTGCCTCTTCCAGAGATCCTCCCTCTATACATGTGCAAAAACATCCTTCTCAGCCCAACCTCCAGAGCATTGATGACTCTGGTTATATTGGCTACCGAAGCTACAGCCCTTCATTCCAGCGTCGGACTGGCTTGCTCCATGCTCTTTCTTTCCGTGATGCTACTTTTGGTGACCTTCCAACATTTAATATTTCTCAAAGGCAATTGAGTCACTCAACACCATCCTATGTTGAGAAAGCTTTACCTACTGCTCTGCTTTCAAGTGCTCCTTCTACTTGTCCAGACCCTTTTGTGGCCAGCAACCCAGAGATCCTAATGGACCAAAGATCAGCTAAACAGGAGAATGATATGAAATCTTTTGAGCAGATTTCTTCATCTCAAGCTATAGAACCATTACAGTCTGATGCTGAGGAGAGAAAAGATGAGGTGGTTCTTCGACAAAAGCCCCCAACTGGACGTAAAATGCCTCCTCCTGCAAGACAGATGAATTTTGTCTTCCCCAGTGATTTAAAGGAAACAGACATTTGTGATCCACCGGCGCTGGCAGCCAATAAAGAAAACAAGAGGGGTGTGGCCCCTTTGGCTACACCAGAGGATTCACTTGCATTCATCCCATTTATTGGTAAGTTTACAAAAAATACTCTGTGGAAAGAGTGGGTTGACTAGTGTAAAATTGATAATGTGTTTATGCCTGGTACGCTATTTCAAGATCATTTGGAAAGAAGCAGAAGTAGAAGCTATTTATGTAGCTATCTTTGGACCCATATAAGTTGTCCCTACCCTTTATTTATGCCATTTTCTTGTGTCAAATATGTTTTTGCTCTTCTACTTGACATTTTTCATAGTCAATGTATATGTACAAGATTCAGCAGTCCATCTGCATTTAAAAGATAAGACCACTCTTTTGAAGACAGCAAAGTCCACATTTTGGACAGAGAAGACCGCTGGTTTGAAAGAGGGGTCAAAGAGGCAATCTGTGTCAAAATTGAACAGCCCTTTCTCAACAGAGGGGGAGAGATATGATATCATCTATTTCCAGTCTACACCCAGTCCTTTCAACGGTTCCAGGAAGGCTCCACACACATTTGCACTACTCAGGTGACCCTGAAAACAGATAAGCCTCCAGGTAGCACTAACAACTTGCTAAAAGAATGCAAATGACTAGCTGTCTGCAAGGAGTATAAATCTTGCCATTCCCCACCATCTGGTTAGAGCTGAAGAAGCTTCTTGGATGAGAAGCAAAATGTCTTCAAAGAAAAACAAGAAAGTCCAGTTGCCTCATGAAAAAGCATCTTTGGGATAACTATGACCTGGATGACTGAGAATCTCCATAGATACCTAGATTCAGCAGTTTAGAATGTGTCCAGTTCCTCCATTTTAAGTCTCCTGATCATGTGATTAAGAGCTGTGCATATGCAGCCTGCTTGCACTTTCCAAATGCAGCACAAGAGAAAAGAAGAAACTTACAAAAGCACAACATATAACATGAGAAAAAAGTATTGACATGTCCTATGTGCATTGCTGGAAAAGAATTCAAATAGCCATTCTTGCATGTTTTCCCTATCTTATTTACATTTTAGGCACATGTCTATAAGTGATTCACGGAGGCAATTTTGAAATGGTGAACTGAAATTGGAGAGCTTGCATCCATTTTTCCAAACAATCAATCAGCACATTAGCTCCCCCCCCCCAAATAAATACTGTATATGTACAGTTTATATCCAATGAAAGATTATTCATTCTCCCTCTATACAGAGAGTAAGAGAAGGGAATCTTACTTTATTAAAAGGGTGATAGTGAAACTGATACAGGGGTCACTTGGCTTGATACAATGAGGAAGCTACAATTTGGATAAGCTATATATTATTTTCTTCTCTACCTTGGTTTCTAATCTACCATGCCACAACCATCTCTTTTTCAGTGCATGCATCTTTGCTTCATCTGTTAGTCATCCTTTCCTATACATCTGCAGACATGGGCTATACCATTTAGAAATGATTCCATGTTTTTATGGGAATTTGGGGAAAGGCTTCCTCTGATGAGAGCATTCTGTACTCGTCCATGCTGTATTTTGAACACCTTGGAACTGGGTGGCACCATTCTTGTGTGGTAGCCAAAGGAGATAGTCTTTTCCCCTATCTTTTACGGTACAAATAGTAACCCATAGTGAATAGACATGATTATAAGACTTCAGCCAGAGATTTGGAATGAAGTGTCATGACTATATTGATGTTTTTCAATTATATATCAACATCTCAGGTCCAGAGTTGCTGTGGAAATCTTGCTTCATTTTCTGGAGACTGTTAGAATTTGGATAGGAGAAAACCATCTAAAGCAGGCGTGTCCTACCTGTTGGCTTGCCTGGGCCACATTGAGTGAAGAGTAATTGTCTTGGGACACATATAAAATATATAATATATTTAATATTTATAAATGCATTTTATATAATCCATCATTTTATGGTTGTTCTGTTTCAGATGAACCGACAAGCCCCAGCATTGATCTGAAGGCAAAGCACATCCCTGCTTCCTCTGTGGTTTCCAGCGCCATGAATTCTGCCCCAGTGCTCTCTGCTAGCCCTTCTTCACCTACTTTCACCTTTGCCATGAACCGCCATTATTCCCAGGATTGCAGTAAGTACTTAGCCAACACTGCCTTCTTGAACTTGAGCTATTCAAATCTGGATCGCAAACTGGCTTGCAAAGATCCAGAAAACTATAAGATCACAGCAAATAGATAGCCTTTTTGTACAGCATTGCAGCTATCTATTACATATCCAGATTTCTTCAGCTCCGTCTGACAGTACTACCTTTAGCTCAGAGTATCAACCTACTTTAGCTAACATTAATGAAAAAAAAAGCGAAAGAATGGCAAAACTCTTGAAATTATGTAACAAAATTATGCTAGTTCTTAGGGAGATCCAATCCCTTCTCACCATCTTTCTCTCATTTACTTATATGCAATTTTTCATTACTAGAAGTTATCAGGTTGTTGTATAAATTAAAAGCAACATCTGAGAAACTGGGAACTCAGTCTCAGAGTATGCACATTTTTTTTGAAAATATCTTTTGTTAATGAATGCTAAGGCAAGGAATCAGTAAGTAGCTTGCTACAACCAGTACCCTTATTGTTTGTGTGGGGAAAAAGATATTGTTGTTCTTTTCCTATCCTGTTCTGGGCCATTATGATAAATTTTACTTATAATTAGGAGAGTTGCAATTTTATTCAAATTAGAAAAATACAGATTTATTCTATATTGTTCTAGAAGAATTTGCATAAGAATTTCTCCTTGAAGTGACTTATGTAAAAAGGAAAAAAATGATAGCATGTTTACAACACATTCCACTGAAACTGAATCATAAAGAGGCAGTAGATGAAGAAGGAAATTTAGAAAACCATCAGCCTTAAGCTTTAGACTTATAAATCAGTTATTATTAAACTATGACTATATCTAAGGTAGTCATTCTTAAATTCTGTGCTATGAGAGCATTACAAGGAGCTGTAGAATGAAATTAAAAGCCTGAATTATTCCACAAGCCTGAATTATTCAGTGATGAATGTGTGTGGCTGTTCGTATGTGCATGCATGCACATATGCACATACACACTTATGAAGATATAAAAGGTAGATCATTCTGATAGTAGGTCACATTAACTTTTTTTATATTTCCAAAGTGTATTCTTAGGGCTATAAAGATACATAGGCTCTTCAAGTTAAATTTGGTTCTTGAATCCCCATAAAGAAGAGGGAATCAAGCTATTTTCCAAAGCACCTGAAGGCAGGACAAGAAGCAACGGGTGGAAACTAATCAAGGAGAGAAGCAACCTAGAACTAAGGAGAAACTTCCTGACAGTGAGAACAATTAATCAGTGGAACAGCTTGCCTCCAGAAGCAGTAAATGCTCCAACACTGGAAGTTTTTAAGAAGAGACTGGACAGCCATTTGTCCGAAATGGTGTAGGGTTTCCTGCCTGAGCAGGGGGTTGGACTAGATGACCTCCAAGGTCCCTTCCAGCTTTACTACTACTACTATTATCCCAAGACGTATATCTCAGAGTTACCAGAAATTTAAAGAAGAACCATATTCTCTCTCTTCCTAGATGTGAGATGTGTACTAAGAAGTGACATAAAATTATTTATTGTGGCCTACATGCATTCATTCAGTAATAGATGTACATTAAAAGTACAAGAGGAAGGATTACCAGTGAAAGACTTGGAAATATAGGGAAGAAGGACAAGGTATTTGCTTTTCTTGCGAACATCATCTGTTTAACTTCCTTCTGTAAGATATCAGACAAAAGAAAAAAAGCCCAGTTTGAAGTATTTCTTCAAGTTCTGCTAAAGAACGTAGATCAAGAGATGCAGAAGGGATGGAAGTCAATGGATTTCATAGAGTTCCTGCTGATAAAGAGAATAATCACAACCAAACTGAAAAGAAGCAAAATCTGACTCTACATCTTTGATAGATAGACCTCTATCTATCTATAGAACTCTGCTTAATTTATTTATTGCAGTAATTTGTGGGTAGTCTACATTCAGATTTCAGCTCCTTGATCTTAATGTTGTCTGTAAGGGCACACATACAGTTTTCTCCATAAACATGAGCATCAGAGTACTAAACCTGAGGATAATGTTTTAGACAAATTTCTGGCAACCATTATTGACAGATACTCTGCTGTGAGATATACTAATGGGAGAGGATTCAATTCACTCTTGCCAAAAAATGATAGGCATTTCCTTGACGTTCTAAATTAGTGCTTGGTGCTTTAAAATATGCGTCTCTTATTTGCCTCCAAGCAGATTAGGCTGAGCCTCCCAGTTTTTACAGAATCATATTTATGAGTAATTTTTTCATGGTTACCCGTTCTTGTAACAACTGTATGCTAAGTTGCGTTTTCGACTGAAAAATTGCTTTTATTATATTTTCTGTGTATTGCCTTGTAGAAGCTCAGGGCAATATTTTCTTTACATTTTCCCTGAACAAGAGAAATTTACTTAGGTAGGATATAGAAGTTAGAGGAGATTACTGGATAACTCGGTGGGATGAGAGTTCTTCATGCTCAGAATTATCTGAGGTGGCTGTGTTTGAACTCAGAAAGGAATTGTTCTCTCTGTATAATGTTCCCATCTACTTTAGTACATTTTCTTTGTGGATCCAGGTTCTTGAATGTGATGACCCTTTTTGGCCCTTCTGTGCTGTTTTGTCTTTGCTTTTTCTTGCCAACATTTGTCTGTGTACTTGTCACAGGCAATATCAAAGCCAGCCGACGATCTTCCTACCTCTTAGCCATAACCACAGAACGCTCCAAGTCATGTGATGATGGTCTGAACACATTTCGGGATGAGGGAAAACTTTTAAGGTGGGTCTAGTACTTCGTACATTCTTTCTGGCATTAATGAAGAGCAGCTACATAAAATGGGAGGCAGACTAATTCTGCAGTATAGTTTTGTTTCCTTTGAAGTTTACATATGCTTTGTCTCCTGGCAAATGAGTTTTCAGAGCGCTTTTTAAAAAATTGCAAAACCTTTTAAGCAGAGCTGAAGCTGTAAGTATCAGCTCTCTGAAGTAGCTATTTCCTGCTTTCAGTCTTTGGTTTTTAGAGCAAAAATAATCTTAAGAGTTGTGTAAGTCAATAGGTGAAAAGTAAACATGTGACAATATTAAGATATTTTGATATTGAATTAGATACTTGGGTTCAGTAAATAGCACTTTTAAAAAACCTGCATCAGTTATTTTAACCATAAATGCCAATTAAACAGTCCTCCTCACACATGTAATGTATATATGATCTATAGGGAATTGTTAATGCTGAAATTTTTCTCTAAGACATATGATTGTCTATGGTTTCCACATGCAGATTTGGAATTGATTTTGATAGTATTAATACTACTATCATTTTATTAGTTATAAGAACTAGTACCTGTTTCATTAGGTACATCTCACTGAATTGACTAAAACGTCATACTCTAAAAAATGAGGGGTGCCCATTGAAAGGGTCCTATTCAGTGAATACAACTAGCTAGTTCTCTTTTTACTTTGTATTGTTTATGCTAACCATATATATGCTCTATCCGCAGGAGGTTGCCAAGCCGTGTGCCTAGCCTACGTATGTTAAGAAGTTTCTTTACTGATGGGGTGAGTATTTGTGGTTCTCTCTTTAAATAAATGTGAATGGGTAGATTTGGTTTCCTTTTCCCCCTGTAATTTGGAGAAATCTAAATAAAGATTTAAAAATTTACTAACATCACACTCAAAAGTAATCTGTGCAATTTGTTGTATACGGATTTATGAAGATCAGGTTTTTTTTTCTGGCTAAGGGACACATTTTATTATTATTGAGACCTCCATAGGCTGCAGATGTTATAACTGGAAAATGCAGAGGCATATTATTGTGTTGGGGAGAGAATTTATCCTTAATATTTCTGTGAAACATTAATTGATACTTATTTTTTGCATGTTTTTGCCAATGAATAGCAAAATAGGTTCCACTGATTCTTTATATAAAAGGAGTTTGGGTATATACTATCAAAATTTGATACTGATTTCATTTATTTTATAAACAATGTTATACAACATAAAATGTGCCAGTATGAAAAGGTCATCGACCCAATCAATTCAATTAAATGGAAAACTAGGATCTACTGAATACTGTATTAAACTATCACAGCTAATCTAGATGACTTATCTAAATCCCATCATCATAATGAATTTTTTGCCATACAGATTCTAGAAGCATATCATGCCCTTCTTAAAATAAATTACCAAAAACCTCCATAAATAAATTAAAAAGTCAATGCCTGAAAAAATTTACAAGATCATTTTTATAGCTTCAGCAATCCACAGTTAGAAACATAGATTTGAACTGCAGAAGACTTGACACAGTAGTAGCTTTTCCCAAGAATGTTTTTTCTACAAAAATTACCTGAGTGCAGCATAACATTATGCATCACAAGGTACCCCAGGATAATATTTAGGGATTTACCACCACCAGAAAATCATGGAGATGTGAGAAACACGAATGTAGCATGGATAAAAATGCACAAAATAGGATTCATGACAGTAGTGGGCTTCATTAAGAAGAACATTGATACTTGTTCCAGAGTTTGCTAAAGAATACCTGGATGACCCTCCAGACACCTTAGTGGATACACTATTGACTGATGAGTAAAAAATATAACTTTTCGGGATATACAGGTGTTGTTGTATCTGAGAGAACCTAACATTGAATTCCACAGTAAGAATCATATACTTGTCAAGAAATGACAGTATTATGACTGTGAATCCTTCCCTGTCCCAGAGTGGATGATTTACCATCACTGAAAGAAACATGGGTTTTGCTTTGTGTCAGAAAAACTACAGGAGAGTTTCAGCTTATTTGTCAGCTGAAACTGATGTGCAAGTGGTTCATGCAACAAGGCAATAATCTCAGCATATAAGGAAGTCCATAAGAAAAACATATTCACTGTTTTGGAATGATCAAATCAAAATCTGGAAGTAAAACTCATCCAAATATTATGGCTGGACCTGAAACAAGAGGTTCATTCCAAAATACTTTCAAGCAATTCACCATTGAGTAATGGGCCAAAATTTCTTTGCAGAAATATGAGAGACTGATTACCAATTACATGTTTTATTGTAGCTAAATATGGTCCATCCAGTAGCAGTGGAGGTAATTACTTTTCCATACTGGCATGTTGCATGTTGAAAGATACATGGATTCACCACTGAAAAGGAGTTAATAAGATGGAATTGGGTTTTATTGGGTAACACTGGCTTGTGGTTTTGTTGTTGGGAAACATTCTATGAAATTGAATTAACTTTAGGAAGATGGCAGCATTTTGGTTGATTTAGATTTGAGTCAGTGGTCAGACAATTGCCAGAACAGTTCACAAGTCCTGCTGTCCATATACATATTTTTCTTTTTCTTTCTCCATCTATACTTGGAACAAAAGCAAATGTCATATGGTAGGAAGATTATTGAAGAGAGTATGTCAGAGAGACTTGGTTTCAGTTACTGTATATATCTAACTGCACAACTTTGATCTAATCACTATTTTCAACCCTGACTTACTAGCAGTCAGTGTATCTTTTCTTCTTTTCCCCTTCTCCAAAGTAAGCATATTGTTTTCCCAATCAGACAACATACTGCTTGGTTAGGACAGCTGTTCCATTCTTCTATTTAATCACAGCAACATCCTTCTCTATATTCAACCTTTTCTTTCAATATTTCTTTTAATCCACTGATGATATTTATTGAACTATGTTTTCCTCTCTTCTAACAGTCTTTGGATAGCTTGGGTACCTCTGAAGACACACGTTCAAAGAGGCATTCCACCTCTGATCTTTCGGATGTTACTTTCAGTGATGTGAGGAAAGAGGGCTGGCTCCACTATAAACAGATCCTCACCAAAAAAGGCAAAGTATGTCTGACATTTTCTGTAAGGCTCTCCTTAAGAGAAAAGAATAATGTTAAGTTTGGTGATATAGGGTATCTCTGTTCATGTGCATAATAGGGTGTGAGGAGGGAAGAATTGTAATTTCACAAACCCATAAAACCTGAACTTATAATGAATTCAAGAATGAAATGTTTAGATAATAGCAGAGGTGATAATTCAGTAGAAATACCCAGATAATTGATTAGAACAGATTAAGTTGGCCAAAAATAAAATTAAGGTGGTCAAAATAAATAAAATATTGATTTCAGTGAGAATTGATAGAAAAGGCAAGTTGCAAAAGGGTTTGGAGCTCTATGTTCTTGGCTGAGATTAAAATATTGGGGGCTTTTGAACCAGGGTGGGTTGTTTGGATCTTCTAAAGGCTGTTAGATTGCAGATGTTGTTTCTGTTCTGTGACTATTGACTGTGATCACTGAGGTTAATGAAGGTTGGAGTTTATTAATACCTGCAGGTACACATACATTTCTTTCCTTCTTTAAAGAAAAGATGGTTGAACTGAGGCATAATAAAGAATTATAAAATTGCTGCTGAAGAAAATAAGAATATGCAGGGGAATCAATCAATGAAATTGATTGGCAAAAAAGGAATGCAATTGTCATTAAGAATTGGCTGCTTCAAGATGTGGCTCTATCATCTGAAATCAAAGTGGGTAGTGAGTAGTAGGTGTTGCCAGCCAATTGGGACACTTATGGATTTTTCTGGGGAAAGAGTGTGCTGGGGTAGGTGTGTTTTCTATATTAAAAAGTCATTGTATGTTCCTATTGTATATTAATAAACAGTTATATGGGTCCAGTGCTGTCTTTTGGCTATCAGGAATGATGAACTTGTGGGCAAGTGGCACCAATGATTGTTTCTATTTTGGGGCTGCTGTGAATAGGAAGAAGTAAATCAAGCCAGAATACAGTAAGGGTTTGCTATTCTGTGCAAACAGGAATCCCTGAGTTGCCTGAGTTTCAAATTTTTTTCACTGTATTCCTTTATATAGGAATGAAGCCCAATTCAGTACAGCAACCCTGATTTTTTCTTGGAATTTGGATATTGTGTCCTTGTTTCCCTCTTTTTCTGCTGCTAACCAACAATTTTTAATGCTGAGTCTTTCTTTTGCAAGAGGCCTAAGTGAATTTTCCATTTAAGTGTGTTTATCCTTGGGGGTTCACCCCTAACTCTGTCAGCTTTTGGTAAAGCTTTCCCCTTTGTAGGACATCTCATTTCTCTTATTAAATCACTATGGCGAGGAAGAATCCTATATTCCTTCCCTTCCTGCTTTTTCTTTGCCTTAGACTGGGTTCTTACTTCTACCATCTTAGCCTCCTTCTTTAATTCTTTTTCTAAATACAACCCTCTGTAAGTGGAAAATGTAATCACTAGGTTACATTTTAAGTCAGAAATTATTCCTACCATCTTTACCTATTCCTTTCCCTCTCCCTGCACTTTGGTTTTAACTGATGGACATCTCAGTCTGCCCAAACACCCTTGTCAGAGGCTCTTTTCCTATGGATAGCTGCCTTTATTAAATGAGAATGTATCAATGTCTGTCTATTTCCAGTATCTTCTAAGCCTCTAACAGTGATCCCATTAACATTTCCCGCCAGAGATGCTTATACTACTGCAGATATTTCATTTTTTCTCTGTCTTTAGAGTTTTTTTAAAACAAATGTCTATTTTCCCTACAGTTGTAATAACTACAGGTCTCTTTGACTTCCAATGCTTTCCTTTGTTTGAGCAGGAGCTAAAGGCTTCTTCACTCCTTTTACCTTTAACTTTCCAACTCCTTATAGTCCCTACTCTCTGGAATTGGATTTCTTATTCACCTTTCTTCTTCTGTATCTTCCTTTCTAATATCCTGTGACCTTTTTACTGCCAAGCAGTCCTCAGTCAATTTTGACCTGTTTCTGGGTTATGTTCTTACATCCAAAATTTTAATAGGAACTATCTGTAGAAACTGTTCTAAAATTACTTCCGCTACCACTTTTTCTTTGCTCCTTTCATCTAGCCTCAATTATTTCCTGTCTAAGTCTTTCAACCTCACCCACAATTCATGAATCCCTTCATGTTTGCCATATGTCATAGTTCCTAAATTTCTGCCTATAGATTTAGGAAAATCATACCTGTATAGAATTATCTCTTTAACATGAGAGTAATCCATTACTTCTCTTACTTGAAAGCTACTATAAGCTCTTTTCTGTTACACATAGGGCTATTTTCACTCCCAGACCATTTACAAGAGGTAGCAACAATTTCAAACCTAGTGAAGGAGGCTTCGTCCTCTGACAATTTAGAGATTTTTATGTCTTTGGGACCACCTCCCCTCTCTGCACTTTCTGAAAACCTAGAGGTGAATGTACCCCTTCTGGTGACTATATTCCTTTAAGGAGGTCTCTCATTCCCCCCCCCCCCAATCTTTTCTTCTCACGGCTCTTTCACTCCTTTCTCATTCTAGCCCAGGGGTGTCAAACTGCTGGCCTGTGGGCCGGATGCATCATGGTGAAACCATGCCTACCCTGTTGCAGGCAATGGAAAAAAAGTTGTGATACATTGCGACACGTCATGTGACATTGCAAGCTTGACACCCCTGGTTCTAGCCTTTCTTTCTCAAAAGCAGTTGTTATCTTTAATTAATCAAAACCTTTCCTTTTGCTGTTTCTTTAACTTTCCGTGATGATATTGGCCCAGGTATCTCAGTCTAGCCCCTTTTCTGGCTGTTCTGCCTTCTTTGGCTTAACTACAGGCATAGGGTGGTTACTTGGCTCTACCAAGATAGTAGTCTTTTATAGGGAAGAATCTTCTTGCTACCTTTTCCATATCTGTTTCTGTAGTATAGGTTCTTGTAAAAGTTCTGGTTTCTGCAGTTAGTATGATGGCTCTTTCCTGCAATGTCTGTTTGAGTTCTACAACAGTCAACCTGCCTTCGCTTTTGCATCTAATGTTTGCCTTTTCATGGCGTGACAATGCACTTTTTAAATATAAGCTACTTCTACTTCTGCTCAAAACACAAAAGAGCCAACACAACACAGGTCCCTAGAAAACATACACATATAAGCATTCACAAGCTATTACTCACTATTCAGCACTATTCCACTCTTACCCACTGCTACTGCTGCTACTAGTCCAACTACTGCTACTCTAATTACTACTCTTTATAAATGCTATTATCCCTACTCTTTGTGAATATTACTAGAGAAAACTAGTTTTTAGCTGCTTTACTTCCACACGCAAACAAACATTCCTTTCCCTCACAACCATCAGCTATTTTTCAGCACAGCTTTTATAACCAATGTTTCCCTGCAGGCTGAGGAGAGGGCTTAAAGCAGTGGTTCTCAACCTTTTTAATGCCGCGACCCCCCAACCGGTCATAAGTCGAGGACTACTCAACCGGTCGTAAGTCGAGGACTACTCAACTGGTGCAGCATCGTTTGCAGAATGGGACTTTTGGCGGCCTCAGCAGGGCAGAGACAGCCTGGACAATTCCTATTGGCTTTTGAAAGCCAATAGAATTAGACTCTATTCAAGAGAGTCTATTCTATTGGCTTTCAAAAGTCAATAGAATAAAAGGGAGTAGCACAGCTAAGGAAAAGGGGAAAAAAATAGCGGACTGTGTTGTTTGGCGACCTCCGTGAAATGGTCGTTCGACCCCAAATGGGGTCCCGACCCACAGGTTGAGAACCATTAGCTTAAAGAGACAGAATGAAAGTAGCACAAGTGCTAATCATTTTCTGGGCAGTCTGCTCTCTCACATAGGGATTCTGCCAACCCACAAGGAATATACCCAATAACATTGGAATTTTAACAAGGAAGAGGAGGGTGAAAACTACAATTGGTAAAATAGCAATAAGAGAGAAGTAGCTCTTCCTTGATCATTTAATATGTGAAAATTCTGATCTGATGCAACTTTACTGTTACAGTTGCTTTAAAAATAATATTGTAAAAGCTTATATTTTAAAACAGGTTTTCTTTTCTAGTAGGGAATGACAGTTATGTATTGATATTTTTTGCATACCAATTCTTGGAAATGAATCTGTATTGAAATTTTAGCAATATTTTAATATGGAAATTTCAATACTACAACAGAATTTTAACTTTTGGAGACTCTAATAATTCAGTTTATATTGCATTGCTGTATTTTTAGAAGACAATTTTAATTTTGGCACCATGGTGGAGTACAAGTCTTGCATGTAAAAGGCTTTAGGTTTGGCTCAGCACATTTCTAGGTAGGACTAGTCTAAAATTCTGGAGAGCTGCAGGAAGAATGTTATGGATTTTTTTTATATAAATCCAGATAGAAGGCTGAGAGCAAGAAATTATTATAGGATTAACCTTACATGGCACCTAGTTTTGAGTTAAGTAAGCTGAGTCAGGCTAGTTGCAATCTTTCTTAATATGGGCACCCTATATGGAATTGCATACTGGCATTTTTGGAAATTGAAATCCACACATTTGCCCAGATTGGGGAAGGCTAGAATATACCCTCCCCCTGAACTGACATGTTGACAGAAGACGAAATGGAAGTTCCAGTTACAGCAAAGGAGGTGAGTAAAGAAACAGTCTAGCTTGGAGTCTCTCCATGGTAGGAAGAGACAGAGGACAGACTCTTGAAGCCTGTACCTGCCTATTCTGAAGAAAATGTAATTAGTCTAGCAAGATTACCTTGGCAGTTACTTTTTCATGGAGTTGTTCTGGTTCCTTGTGCCCAACAAATCATTCTCTCAGTCTGTTTTTTTCTATATCTCTCCTGTGGATCTTTTTCTTCTTCTCATCTCTCTCATGTCTCATTCTTCCTTTCTTTTGCAGAAAATTGGCGGAGGCATCCGGCAGTGGAAACGGGCCTTTGCTGTCCTGCGTGCACACTCACTCTACTTATGCAAGGACCGAAGGGAGGCTGTGGCCCTTGCCCCGCCCCCAGGTGAGGAGGAGCAGCCACCAATCAGCATCCGAGCGTGCCTGGTAGACATCTCCTACAGTGACACCAAGAGGAAGCACGTCTTCCGGCTGACGACCGCTGACTTCTGTGAATGTCTCTTTCAGGCTGAGGACCGGGATGACATGCTGGCCTGGATTAAAGCCATCAGGGAGAGTAGCAAAGCCGAGGGCGAGGTGAGAAGTAATTCTCCTGATGGCTTTCTCTTTTGCCACTGGCTCTCTAAATGTACTTCTTTTAGAAATCCCACCATTGCTTTTTCTTAATTTATCTTCCACCCTTAGGAAGAACCCAACTGTAAATGTCTCATGTAGTTAATAAGTTCTATGGCTAAAAACAGCCAAGGCTTTCCTGCAATATACAAGGATTTCTGGATACTTTCCACTGCTGCAACCATAGCAAGGATTATGAACATAAAGTCTGCAGAGGCTACTGAACTATACTCACCAAACTTCAAACAGAATAGCCATTGGCTGCTGGAATGTATCCTGTAGCAATCTTTGGAGGCTCATGATTTGTGTGCTTATAGCTTCTTTGAATTGTCAAGTTTGAGAAAGAATATTATCAATTTTCTACAGTTCCTGAGTTCTATTCTAATATGGAATTTCTGATAGAAGCTCCAGTTGGTTTATTATGGTGATCTCTGCTGGTCAGCTGACTAAATGATGCTCTTTTGGTTGTTCATACTGTGAGCAGAATTGATGTTTTTCTCCAGTTAGTCCTTAGATTGCAGAATAGAATTTGCAGACGCTTCCTCTCCAACAATGCTAAATAAGTTCCTACCTTTATGTAGGAACATGGGGAACTTATTTACCATTGTTGGACAAGAAGTGTCTACTATTTAACATGTATGTATGTATGTATGTATGTATGAATGTATGTATGTATGCATGTATATGTTAAAAATAAAAGTAAAAATATGACTCTTGGGAATATCCATACTATTAAAACAGTGATCACCAAGAGAATGCTTTAAGAGAATAAAATTTAATTAATCAACCAAGCTTTTGTCAAAATTTGACATCGTCAGGGTTAAAAAGCAAGTATAGGTGATGATCAGGAGTTGGGGGTGAAGGAAGGTGATGCCCACCGACAACGGACTGAACAACGGAGTGCTCCCAATGAGATGACAGCATAGAACGCTTTGAGCATGTGCGGGAGGAGGGTGATTGGAACAGACAGCAGACGCCTCAGTATGGTGCACGGGAAGGAAGACAGAAAGGAGAATAATATGGGGGGGGGAGAAGAATCTGTAATGCATTCCCAAGGGACGAATGGGCAGGACCGAGGTGAATTTGTGACTCAGGGGGATACTGGACTAAATCCAAATACCCCCCCACCCTCACCCTTTAGGTGCAATCGTATGCAGGGTGATAGAGGAGCTGCACATGGGGGAGGGGAGAAAACCTTAGTCCTGAATCCACTTAATCCCGAAGCTACCAATCGAGTGGTATGTGAGGGAATGCTAGCTAGGAACAAAAGAATGTGTATTGAAGGAGAGACGCTTGGGTTACATTCTAAACAGCTGGGGCTTATGATGCACTTTAAGAGCCGGAAGCAGATACTTGATAACGGGATGCTTGATAACGGTATATAAGTCTACTCCCTATACTTGCTTTTTAACCCTGATGATGTCAAATGTATTTTGACGAAAGCTTGGTTGATTAATTAAATGTTATTCTCTTAAAGCATTTTCTTGGTGATCACTGTTTTAATAGTATATGTATATGTGTATATATATGTATACACACACACACACACACACACACACACACACACACACACACACACACACACACACATATATATATATATATATATATATATATATATATATATATATAGTAGACGCTCCCTGTCCAACAATGGTTGGACAGTGTCACCAAGACACTTCCAATTTTACGTGGGAGAAAACCTGAATAACCAAAGACCTACACGCACACACACACACACACATGTATATGTATATACTAATTAAAGATCAGACTGTTGGAACTGTCAGGAGTTTTCAATCAGTAATTCTAAAAATTGTTTTGATTTATTTTAAGTTTTCCAAGAAATCAGCAAAAAGAGATTGTTTCAGTCAAATTGAAAAACATTGAAACGAGAGTTTACCTGAGTTCTCATATCCCTTGTTTGTTTTTCTCCCTTCCCTTCTGTATTTTTTTTTTAATCACCAGGACCCTGGGTTTGCAAGCCAAGCACTGATCAATAAGAAACTAAATGATTACCGAAAAGTGAGGTAAATTACTTACCATCTTACTATCTTTATCTTTGAGAATTAGCACTCTTTCTGCTAAAAATTGAGTTTCATATTTCTTAGATGATAAACCTGAATCTGATCTATTTCATTTGAAGAATTCAGGTTCTGAATACACCCAGATTAAAAATATTGCTATATACATTTTTATGTTTATTTATGTTATTTTATTTTATACCATGTTTTTATTATTCTTTATACACTCAAGGTAGCAGACATATTTATTACTCCTTTTTCCTCCTATTTCCCCATGACAACAACTAAGTGACTGACCCAAAGTCACACAGCTGGTTTATATAGCTATAGTGGGACTAGAATTTACAGTCTACTGGTTTCTAATTTGATGCCTTAACCACTACACCAAATTGGTTTAGGATGAAGTTGGAGCCCTTCTCAACTTTATTTATTCAGGGATTTTTTTCTAAGATTATGTTAAGCCTTGTTTGTAAAGTGAAGTTCACAAAGAACTTATACCTTATCACTAAAAGGCTTGATGTCTGGAAATTTATTTCAGGAAACTGAAAAATTAGAGAATAATATATATAGGCAACCTTTAATTATTTAAAAGATGGGTTCAGGACATTTCATATATTACCATTTTTATATTATTACATTTTATAGTCTAAATATCTGGATGAAGGTCAGTTTGTGAAGGAATTCTGGATATAGTGTTCTCAGCAGTATATACAAGCATGAGGCTTCCCCCCCCATTCTTTTTTGAAAATACATGGCATTTGGGGGCAGGATGTCTTAGCCTATAGCTTCCTTTTGCTCCTGCTTTGTTAATTTTAGTCTGAATTTATGTATGAACAGTAGTCGGGCAGAAATTAAAAGCATACAAGGAAGAACACCTATGGACCAAAAAAAAAAAAAATATTTAAAACCACTTCTGTAATTTCTGCTCCCAGTCCTGACAGAGTAGTTTGGATTTCTGTATTAGCATTTCCAGACTACACTTCATTTCTTCAAGTTTTGCCATCAAAGAGAGCCTTGAAAACCAAAGTCCTCTCTGTATTCATACATGCAGAATATGTAGAATAGGTTATTCCTGAGTTTTGAAGTAATTTCTTGCATGGTCTTTTTTTCCTTTCAGTTCTTCAGGGACCAAACCAGATTCTTCCCCCAAAGGACTTCGAGTGTCAGGGATGAAGTCAGAAGGGCAGAAGCAAACAGGAATAGCTCCACCCTACTCCCCACGGCAGGATGGAGTAACAGTAAAAGGTATGGAAGACTTGTGCAATTGTTCCAGAATGGGGGTGCTGTGAGAAATTGTCTATCTTGCAAATTACTATATAGACCCACTTTACTACCCCGACACTATGTAAATATGCTAAACTACAGCTTCCATTATCTCTAGCCAATACCCATTTCTGACATTTTGTACTCTGATCCTGCTTCCTAATTTCCTTAACTTAATCTTATTATGCAATCATTTAAAAAAAACTAATCTATTGTTATGTGTCCAACCTACAAGTCCTACCATTTTATTTATTTGTTAAATTTCTACACTGACCATTGTGTATGTGGTTTACTACACATACATAATAAAACAATATAAACATATGACTAAAAGCATAGTTAAAAACAAAATTAAGAACAAGGTTAAAATTTATAGCTAAAAAACTCAGAATGCTAAAATGTTAACAAAACAGAACAGGAATGTTCTCTATCCACCAACCATCCTCAGGGTTCCATAGATTCTTAGACTTCCATGGTAAATTGCAGTATTTTGTTAGTCTTCTCTGTACTCTTTCTAGAGTTTCAACTCTTTTTTTTACATCATGGTGACCAAAACTGAATGCAGTATTCACGGTGTAGCCTTACCCAGGCATTGTAAAGTGTTATTAATACTTCATATGATCTTGATTCTATCCCTCTATTAATGCAACCTAGCACTGTGTTGGCTTTTTTGGCAGCTGCAGCACACTGCTGGCTCATATTTAAGTGATTGTCCACTAGGACTCCAGGTTCCCTCTCACAGTTGCTGCTATTGAGCTTTAAAGTTGATAACTCATACCCTGAATTGGATCAATTTAATTGTTCTTAAATAAGTACCAAATTTTGTTTATGAAACAAGAAACAACTATGAAAATGAATAGAATAGAATAGAATAGAATAGAATAGAATAGAATAGAATAGAATAGAATAGAATAGAATAGAATTCTTTATTGGCATAAGCTCTCAGTGCACATACAACCAAGTGATAAGTCATAGGTCATAAATCATAAGATACAATCACAAATCTTAAGATACAACAATAATTGATAAATCATAATATACCAGTATGAGAAGGTAGTAGGATAGATGAAAGGTGAGAAAGATTAGAAGATGGGAAGGATGAGAAAATGACAAGGATAATAACAATACAGCTACTACATGGGTAAATATTTTTAGGTCTAAGACAGTGCTGTAGGAGTTAGATGTTTAACAGAATGATCAAAACTACTAGAGAGCATTTTACTGAGGCTGCCATTGGCAGCGGCATCTTGAGGTAGATTCCAAAATCCAGCATTGATTCAAAGCCACAGTTATATCATAATGGATTCTGCTGGAGACTTGGATTCAAGTCTCTTCAACTAAGGATTTGTATGATGATCTCAGAGAATTGTTTGCAGTTTTGGTTCTCCATTTTTGTGAATTTACTTTTTTAACAGTTTCTTTTATGACTGACATAAAAATGCACAGCATAAATTCCTCATGATAGCTTTAATAATGTTCCAAGAAGCACCCTTTACTATACACTCTTCTTCCCATCTGAATCTGTTCCATAAAGATGAGTTCAAATACATGGATATTCATGTGATGACTTTTAGCAGCCATTGGAGACCAAGCAGGACACAATGGATTTGGCTGATTTGACTGAGGTGCATGCACATTGGAATCTGATATCAACAGAGATAAAGTTGCTAGAGATATGGGATAAAATCTTTTTTGGGGTATCTTTTCAGTACAGAATTACTTTATAAGTACTTTATTCTCCAGGTTTTATAAACAGTTTGTGATCTTGACGTTATACTTTTTAAATTGGTTTTGAGATTATTTTTCATTTTAATATCTGATTTGAGTATATATGTATTAATTTTTGTTCATTATAAATCCGGAATTCATATCCTCTATAGGGCAGGTTATGAATTCTATAAAATAAAATGCTATTTCTTTCTCATCTCACATTATTTCTCCTCATAATATCTGGACTGCATAATTTCTTCTGTTATCAATACTTTTGCTATATTTTCCCTCAGTTAATGGTCTTCTCTTTTTCTCCCTTTTCTGTCCAGATGACAGTATTCCCCAGAAAGCTCCTTGGGGCATCAACTTAATGAAGAAGAGCAAGAAACCTGTTCCAAGAGCTTTTGGTATAAGGTTAGAAGACTGCCAGCCAGCTCCTGACAACAAGGTAGTCTCTTTTCAGTTGTTCTAGGTCTTTTATGCTGCATAAGACAAGAACAGTATCTTGGGAACTTTGTTAAGGGAAAACTGCTATCACTTCAACATGTCCAATAATCTGCCACAGGATCTAGTTTGTGAGCCTTCTGCTTAGAGCTTAATTACAGCTTAGCCTGTTTTCTTGGTTTAGTAAATATGTAGGAAAGTGTATGCAGGGAAAAAGATTTATGTTGAATTGGGAAATGGGGAAGGGGCAGTAAAGAAAATTGAGTTTTGATCTAATGGGAAGAACTGGATTGTCAGATATAGTGTTACTTCTTGAGAAACAGGTCATATTTCCACATAACATAATAGAAAGATGGAACATAGTGTTAGTAAAATTAGCATGGCTTGAGATCTGATTGGAGCATAATATTGTTTGTGATTTCTTTGGAAATGTGAAACTCATTTCTGAATTTCATTCCCACTTAAAAGACAAAAATCCAAACTTTTAACTTGGAGATTTCATTAGTATTCAAATCTGGAAGCTGATCCATAATATATAGCTTTGAGTTCTGGTAAAAGAAATGTGCTTGAAATCCAAAAGATAATATGTATGATATATCTTTGGGGCTAGTCATTTGGTTTAGGCTTCAAATTGCTTCTAACTCACAAAAAAGGAACTTACATTTTTAAGGTGCCCAACCCTGGTACCAGTATCTTCATCCTCTTGTCTTCCACAGAAAATCCCCCTGATTGTAGAAGCCTGTTGCAAAGTAGTGGAAGACAAAGGTTTGGAATATATGGGCATCTATCGAGTCCCAGGGAACAATGCTGTGGTATCCAGCCTACAAGAACAATTAAACAAAGGGGCAGCAGAAATCAACTTGCAAGATGAGGTGAGAATAAGATTGCTTAGCTCATAGTCTGCTCTTTTCACTTCTATTGAAATAATACCCCAGTACCCATTAGATAGTACTGACCAGTGCTTTTTTTCTCTTAAAAAAAAAAAAAAGGTGCTGGAACTCACACACGTCATATAACCCACCTTGCCTACCCTACAAGGTTCCATCCAAAAAAGGTGCCGGAACTCCGTTCTGGGCGTTCTATGAGAAAAAAAGCCCTGGTACTGACACCTAGCTGTCATTTACTTATAGTAGATGTATTTACATATGAGACATGTGTATGTATTGTCTTGGGTTAGTTGCAGAGCAGATTCAAAGCCAGTCCACAGTGGCCTTTCTAATACAAGAAATGAGACCAGTTATCTAGCAGGATATCATAAAAAATACTAAATAAGGTATGATGTGATATCCTCATTCTAATTTGAGCTTTAGCTACTTTCTTAGGCAAATAGTTATTTGAATCACACCCCACAGTTGAATTTACCAGCTTTGTGATTTATTTATCCACAGGATGGTATATTTACTGATATATTACTTGCACTTGGATATTTTTAACCCTTTTAATCTTTCCAGTCTCATATTATGAGCAGGTAGCCTGAAAATTGAATTAATATGGAGGTGGCTGCTGTATTGATGGCAGACTCTGCCTCCCCCCCCTTGCTCTATGTTCTCCACCCCTCCATCTTTTGTTATTATATAGAGGTATTCTCCTTGTTTTCTTTTTCATTATTTTGTTGTTTTATTGTTTTGTTTACACTTCATTTCTTCCTTTTTATTATTGTAAGGCATCTAGAATCGCTCCACTGTGAGATAGGTGGCAAATAAATTTGATAAATAAAAATGAATAAATTATACAAATCCTAATACTATTTATTATCTTGTCTTAGCATTTTATCAATCTTAATCTCATTATTAATAGTGTGAAGAAAATATCACTTTCCTATAGTTAAGAGTTCTTGCAAGGATTATAAAAGCAAACATATCTGAATTATTTTGAACACTTTAAACAGTTTGTACTCCAGATCTTCTGGATTGTAGCTTTCATCTCCTGGGTCAGTTTGGCAACAGGAGTTCTTGCTCAAAACAATGGAAGTTTAGAATTTTAATGCATCAAGATCATACAAGATTATGTAAGCTTTACTTTCAAGTTTTTATGAAAGAGTAAACATCATTATTCCTTTTATTAGTCTTGTGTACAGACCCAGAGAAAGAAGGGAACAGGCTTCTTGTAGTAGAAGACCACCTATATACCTACAGTTGTAAATGCATATATGCAGTTCCCTGTCATAGCTTGCCAATCTGATTAGAAAAAGTAGATGAAGCCAGTGGAGAATGTTGGTTGCCCTGGCCATGGTCATTTGCCTTCTTTAAAAATCTTGGAAAAATCAACAGTGCAGTTTTTTTGTTTTTTTTAAAGTTTGATGTCAAATGCTTTACAGTATTTGGGAAATGTAAAATGTTTTATATAATAATAAATGAAAATCATAATTGAAATAAGTGTCATAGAATCTTTCCATTCTCCACTCCCAGAGATGGCAAGACTTGAATGTTATTTGCAGCCTCTTGAAGTCCTTCTTTCGGAAGCTCCCAGAGCCACTATTTACCGATGGTGAGTGATGGCAGCTACTATCTCTTGACTGCTTTACCAGTCAGGATAACAACATGATTTTTCCCAAAAATTCAGATAGGAAATATGAATCTTTGGTTTCTAAGGGACTCTGTATGATCTTTTTCTGGTTGATTATATTGGTTTTGGGGCATGGTTTCTCTCTTGTTCAAGCCATAGCTGGTAAATCACATTTGTCTAAGAGGTGTAGAGATTGATATTACAGAATCACTCAGGGTTCAGTTTTATTTTCATTTTTCAAGGATTGAAAGAAAAGGAACTGATTCAAACTTTTAGGGCAGGGGTGTCAAACTCGCAACGTCACATGACGTATCACGGCGTATTGTGACTTTTTTGCCATTGCCGGCAGTGGGGTGGGCACAGTTTCGCTATGATGCATCCGGCCCGTGGGCCGGCAGTTTGACATCCCTGTTTTAGGGCTTGAGTTCCAATTGGAGTGTGATTGTGGGAAATGGGGGGAAAACTCTTTACTTCTCTGATAACTTGTTATTGTCATGCAGTTCTCACAGCTGCACATTGCATACTTCAACTATGGTAATAATACCACAACATATATTACCACATTACCACATGGTAATATGTGTTGTGTGCAGAGGTAAGGACTATTTCATCTGATTATTTCAGAAGAAGATGGAGGCTAGAAAATAATGTCCCGGGTAATTATGGCACAGTGGGGGGTTGATTAAACTATAGTCAGTGGCAAGACATCAAGAAGGAAAGATGATTTCCCACTCCTGGAATTCTTTAGGTAATACTTTTCCTGCTTGCAAAAACGTAGAAAAAATTTAGTTTCTTTTAAAGGAAATAAAGAATTTCCAAATGCAGATCTCCAAGCAGCCCTGGGTTTAGCAGAGAGAGAGAAAGCATAGTTTAATTTCAGGAGAGAAGAAATCAAATGTTTTAGCCAGGCAAGTTATAAAGTTCTCAAGAAGCCTGCTAGAATTATCTTTTCCCAAACCAGTAATGATGAAATTTTCCCAATTCATCTCCTGTCTTCAGGTCTTGAAAGAAGCTCCTACACTCTTTGACCTTTTCAGATCTATTCACTACAGTCTGTAAATGAGGTTTTGTTAAGAAAAGAAGCTGCACATTCCTTATGTTCAGCTAAAAACTCTAGTTGGTAAAAATACATGGCAATATATGTTTATTTCACTTGCTTTCTATTTACATCAGGTCACTGATGAATTCAAATAGTCTATTGCAGGCACATCATTTTTTTTCAGGCTGAGAATAGTATGAGGTCTATGGAGCTGTACTGGATGAATCCAATCCATTGTTGGATGCAGTCATGGAAGAGAATAGGATGCGGCAAGAAAAAAATATATAAATTAAAGGAATTCAGCTAATATATGTTTTTTACAAGCAACCAAAACCTTGGGAGGTCAGGGTGTGTCTCATGTTTTAAATTTCTAAATAAGTAAGAAGCAGTTACCTTAAAATAGCTTTTCCTTTCAGATATGTCAGATAATATGTCACATAACTTACAGATAACAGATAATTAACCCAGATTTATTTTTTAATCTCATCTTTCCTTTGGAAAGTGTTTGAAATCACATCTAGTATTTCAGAAATTTGTTTATTCCCCCCGCCCCCCAATACTGTGCTGTAATTTTTCATGGCTATGATAAGAGTGAATGTTGTATCCCCCAAAATTAACAGTCAAGTGTTTTCTAAATTATTCTTACCACTTAAATCTAACACAGAAATTAAATAAATTAAAATGTATAAATAAATTAGAATTTCAGATTTCAGAAATTAAGTTAGTAAGTAAACTAAGAAATTAGCAGCTCTAGATACCTTAACTCCCAATCCCAAGGCTGAAATTAGATGGTAAAAATAAATTGTCTTTCAAGATGTATTTTGAATATCGTTCTCACTTGTTTTGAACTACTCAATTTGTTTTGTCCTAAGATGATACCACAAATCACAAATGTTTTTCTTTTTCAAGATAAGTACAATGACTTTATTGAAGCCAACCGGATTGAAGATGCCAGTGAAAGGATGAAGACCTTACGCAAACTGGTATGCCCCTGAAAATTCCTGCTGGCTTTTTCCTTGGAGAGCTAAATGGGGAAATATGAACATTTGGTCTCTGCTTTGCAAGGAAAGGCTGCAGTTTTGTGATAGAACACTTGTTTATTTTGAGGAAATGGAGAGTATGCAGGATAGGATAATTGAGCCTATCCTGTATGGTTTCTGCACTCCAACAAGGAACAATCTTCATAATGAAAAGTAACACTTCCTTTTATGCTGAAGATTCAGTCTCTAACATTTTTAACTGGCCAGAGATAGATTTCCATCAGAAGTCTTTCTGAGCCACTGAAGATTATATTGAGCTTAATATATCTAGGCAACTAGTGCAACTTCTGACCAACCATACATCAGCTTCATTGAACACAACTAGACCATAGAATACTTGCTTTGAATCCTGATGTCTCACACTGTGCAATTTTAAGGAAGATACTGTAGAGCAGCGGTTCTTAACCTGTGGGTCGTGACCCCTTTTGGGGTCGAATGATCATTTCACAGAGGTCGCCAAAGTCCTGGAGTTTTTCCTCATAGAATCCTTATGAAACGCAGTCTGGCATATTTTTTTTGTTTTTTTCCCCTTTTTTCATGAGCCCTCTTATTCTATTGGCTTTTGAAAGATTCTATTGGCTTTCGAACACCAATAGAATAGACTCTCTTGAATAGAGTCTAATTCTATTGGCTTTCAAAAGCCAATCGGAATTGTCCAGGCTGTCTCTGCCCTGCTGAGCCCGCCAAAAGTCCCAGTCAGCAAACATTGCTGCAAGTTGTCTGCAGCTAAGGCGAGCTTTCTGGAAGTTTCCACCCCTCCCTGCTGAGCAACTACTAAATGTAAGTAAAAGAGGGCCAGGGGTGAGAGGACCGCCCAGGAGCGCCTGGGCCTGCCTACCACTGCACCGAATGGGCGGTGGCCATGGTGAGGCTAGCTGGGCAGCGGCGGGCGCTAGGAGGGTACCTGGCATGCACGAGGCCCGGCGGGTGGCTTACCTCCCTTGGGCCAGGCCTGCTGGTGGCCCGGCCCATGGTCGGCCTGCGCCGTCGCTGCCACTTGCCATGGCCGCCCAGGGGCGCCTGGGCCTGCCTGCCACTGCACTGAATGGGCGGTGGCCAAGGTGAGGCTAGCGGGGCAGTGGCGGGCGCTGGGAGGGTAGCTGGCGTGCGTGGGACCCGGTGGGTGGCTGACCTTCCTTGGGCCGGGCCAGCTGATGACCTAGCTGGTGCTGGACCTGCACCGCCGCCGCCTCATTCTGTGCCTACATGGCCGCCCTGGAGCACCTGGCCCGCAATGCCTTCTGCCTGCCATCTGCACCCTCCCGCCGCCCCGCACTGACATCTGGCTCGGCGACTGCAAGCTCTGCGCCATTGGTTTGTGTGGGTGGCGCTGTGGGAGACGCGGGGCCTTCTGCTGCCTTCTGCCCCTCCCATGCTTGGCCTTCTCGGGACCTCCGCCCATTTTCCGATGCCCGGAGCAGGAGAGGAAGTGCTGCTTTCCAGGCATGGGAAGGGACTTCCCCCTCCCAGGCTCCCATCCACTGGGTTAGGGGCACTCCTCTCCACTGGGACTGGGGTTGTGCAAATCGCAGCGTGCCTCCTTTCCCACTGCCCAGCCTGGCCCGGCTCGCCCTCCTGCGGTAGGCAGAGCTCAGCAAAATTTGGCCCTGGAAAGGCCTGGCCAGCCAGGAAAGTTGAGCAGCCCCGGTGAGGGAGCCGTTCCTGTCCCGTGGCCGGCTGGCCAGGAATCTTGAGAGGGAGAGGAAAGAGAGAAAAAGAGGGAGAGAGGAAAGCATAATTACTATGCTTTAATTATGTTCAGTTTTTAACAATGAAAATACATCCTGCATATCAGATATTTACATTACGATTCATAACAGTAGCAAAATTACAGTTATGAAATAGCAATGAAAATAATTTTATGGTTGAGGGTCACCACAACATGAGGAACTGTATTAAGAGGTCGCGACATTAGAAAGATTGAGAACCACTGCTGTAGAGAATGACCCAGATTGCTCAGTCATGTTATTTTGTGAAAGATTAATCTTGAACCTGTAAAAGAGAAAAGACATGTGAAAATACAAATCAGTCTCCTATAGAAGATGACAGAATGGGCTTGTAATATGCCGGCTTGATGCAGATCTGTAAACTGATTCTTTTATTCTATATATCATTGCCAAGCACACTTGCCCTTATCTTCTTTCCTCTTTTCCCATGTATTAACACTCACTGTATCATTACTGCTAGCCTGGCAATTCCTTTATAGCTTTTGAAGTTTTTATACTTTATTTTCTTAATAATTGAGAACTGAAGCATTCTTCATTCAGTTGAAAACCATCTGGGTAATTAATTTAAAACAAGCTTGAGGTGGGAATGTCACACAACATTAATGAAAGGAATAGTGGGCAGTACTAAGGCAAGAAAAACATACTTTTCCTAAAGAACAGAGAACATGTACTATTAGGAAACATTATCTAGCCATATCATAGTGCAGGACATATGAAGATATGTATTATTGGTATGCTTTAAACTTCCTTGTAAGAGTAAATATACATTATGGAATAGCAGTGGAATTCTAGAGCTGACATGTTCCTATGGTACCACTCCTTTTGTGTCAATTTTTAAAAAGCAAAATAATGGATTGATCTTATAAAAACTAAACTAGAGAAGGAGAGAGAAATTGGAATAGGATCTTAGTTATAAAATGAGACAAATACTCCTGATTGATTTTATTTATATTTCTTCCACCTCTGATTCAGATCCGGGATTTACCAGGCCATTATTATGAGACCCTTAAGTTCCTAGTGGAACACCTCAAGACAATTGCAGATCATTCTGAGAAGAATAAGGTAATGTTTGCTCACTACACCTGCCTTCCCTTCCCTGTCCAGTGACTTGTCTATAGTACAAATATTCAACTGTTTCATGGAAAGACGGATTAAGGGGTTACATGATCTAGGAAATGGAATTTTTAGTTTGATTGTGGGATGCAACTCTTCAAATACCACTAAGATTTTACCTGGGAACTTTCAAAATACTGTTTACCAATCTGATTCTCTTCCAATGTGTTAAAGCTCTAATGATTTCCAATCACTGGAATAAATGCTGGGGATGATAGACATAACAACCTAATATGTCTGGAGTTTACCAATGAAGAAAGCTGTGCTAGTTCTGTATCCTGTATTCCTGCAATGTATTCCCAGGCAAAAGAAAGGCTATGGAATTTGTGGATTATGGTTAGGAAAAGCTTTCCGTAATGAATTGTCAAGGATTACCTCTTGAATATCCATTAGAATGGAAACCTGTTCCCAAGAATTTAACACTGAAAGGATTTTGCTTTAGTAGCAAGAATGAACAATTCTGCCTCAAAAGGAAATGTTCGTCCTTCTCTTCCTTCCTTGATTGCTATCTTAATTCAAGTGTAGCACGAATGGACAATTGTGGCCCAAGAAGAAATTTATTTCCTTCCTTCCTTCCTTCCTTCCTTCCTTCCTTCCTTCCTTCCTTCCTTCCTTCCTTCCTCCCTCCCTCCCTCCCTCCCTCCCTCCCTCCCTCCCTTCTCCTTTCCTTCCTTCCTTCCTTCCTTTCCCCATCTTAACTTCCTTCCTTTCCCCATCTTAATTAACGTTCAGAATAATATAATTCCAAAGAGACTTTTAAAAAGAGAGATTTAACATCAATGCCTAGCATATAAATCAATGACCAATAACTGAATTCCTTATATAATTTAAGTCAATTTTTTCTTTAAAGTCTTCCTTTTTGTATTTCCTTGAATATGTACTTCTAGCTAAGAAGCACAAGAATCTTTTACCCACTTATTATTTTTGTGAATGGATTACCAATTGATTTTATAATCTCTAGATTGAACCAGTATTCACATTATATAATATTTTTGCTGTTTATTTCAGCAAAGAAATAAGTTCTTAAACTTATAGTTAATTTTTGCTTTGTTCAAGAGTTGAGGATAAACTCATTCAATCTTATCATTTGAAAGGTCTCTAATAGCTTTGAATGGTTAATAGGCAATTCCTGAAAGTGATTAGATTTGCAAATTTATTGTCCTTGCTGCCATTGCAAGAAATATCGCTAATCCCTTGGAAGTCCCCGGAATTTACCTTTTTCTTTACCCAGCAACAGATTTTAGGAATGATCTAAGCAAAGTTTGAACCTTGTTGACATGGGTTTAAATAAAATCTTCCCCTATTGTACTTTGATGAACTCCCATATGGTATTTTAGGATTGGTTTCTTGAATAATTCTGTTTGTAGACAATTTCTAGACTCCCAGTTTGCTCTCTTCCTTATTGAACTCCACACAGAGATATCTGTAGTGAAAAGGTTGTATAAATAATAGACTTTCTAATTCCTCCATTGTATTAGGAGAATATGAAATGAGTGTGCTAATTTCAACATTTCTTCTTGCTATATGAACCCTACTCTGCTTGTTTGTGTGCTATGGAATTTAGAAATCTGACTTCCCTGAGTCTAAATTGCCATATTTGAAGCAATTCTTTGGATGGGATGCATGAAAAAATCATAGGGCTTTCTTAGAGCTCAAAGCAGAGAGGCTAATGTGACATGAATGCATAGATAATATGTATAACTTCACTCCAGCCTTTCTGACAACTGCTCATCTTATAGAAACAAAATTGCAATGGATTGTATTGCAGATGGAGCCGCGAAATCTTGCCTTGGTATTTGGTCCCACCCTAGTTCGAACGTCGGAGGATAACATGACTGACATGGTGACACATATGCCTGATCGCTATAAAATTGTGGAGACCCTCATACAACACGTAAGCAGCAAGGAGGGTTTAGAACTAGGATCTAAATAATGGACAATTTAGAGGGGTCTGATTCTCTGTTTCTATATATATATATGTAATTATGCATATGAGTTATTTTCAAAATTATCTTCAGAAATCGCTTGGTGTCCTTATCAAATGTATTATCAAATGAATCCCAAATATTTGTTTCGAAGGTTCTCAATTTGGGGAAAATTGCTTTATAGAAGGAATAGGGAATGTGTTATTTGCTAGATATTACTGAATGACAAGTATCAGCAGCCGTATTTGTAATTCAGGAGGATCTGGACAGCCACAATTTCCCCATTACTGTTTTAAATAAATTAAGGGCAATAATAATACTAAAGAGTCAAAGGAAAACAAAATAGTAAGACCCTTTATTAGAATATTAATTCTGCTAATTAGTAGCACCCAGTTCTTTATTTAACAATCTGCAAACCTTTCACCTTGAATTGTAGTGTTCAGTTATATGATTGATTGCAAATAGGTCAAAGGATTTTTGTTTTTAGTTAATAATTTTAAAAAACCTTTCTATTGTTTTAGAGTTGTAAAGATATATTTCAGTAACCCCCAGTGATCTTTAGGGCAGAAGATGAGAATTTATTTACTATGCCTATGTCAGAGCATTCACAGTCTTATTGCGTGAGATAACCAAGGAATAAACGCAGTAAACAGTGGTCTATATTAATTGGTGGTTTATCTTACACTATCCACAATATCATACACCAGGAACAATATACATACACATGCTAATACAGCAGGATCCAACACACCACAGTTACAGCAGGAAACGAAAGAGAGAGAACACATCAGCGGAGCCTTCCCTTTATACAAAGGCTCTTAAAGAGACACAGACCCTGCTGAATCATTCCCATCATTACATCTTACATTACATAAGCTGATTAGCTAAACAGTTGTTAACCCAAATGCTGTTATATACCCTTGATGCTTGCCTGCATTTAAAGACTTAGTCAACATATCGGCTATATTGTTGTGAGTGGAACAATGCTGTAACTTTATCAGTTTATCTTTTGCAGCCTCCCTGACGTTACAATATTTTATGTCTACATGTTTGCTTCTGCTTCTGATACATTCTCCTGTTGCTGTCTTTATACATGCAATATTGTCCTCAAATATTGGCATAGCTTCTTTCACATCAATATGTACATCTTTAGTAATTTGACATACCAGGTTAATTCAGAATATGCTTCAGACAATGCTATAAATTCAGCTATAGCAGTTGACAGTGCTACTGAAGGTTGTTTTCTGGATTTCCATCCAATTACTGTGCCAGCAAACAAAATCAGAAACCTTATGTTTGACTTTCTGTCATGCATATCATTTGCCCAGTCACTGTCTACATAGCATTGTAATGATAGGGTATAAGATGGCCTTATCCTTAGTCCTAGGTCCATTGTGCCTTTTAAATATCTGAATATTCTTTTTATTCCTAACCATTGTTGTTGTCTGGGTGCTGAATTGTGCCGACTCAAAACGCTAAACGCACTGGCTATATTTGATCTTGACCATTGGGATAAATATAATAAGCAACCTATAGCTGATTGGTACACTTCTTGGTCACATTCTGTGTCATCTGCTATATCATTCTGAAAGTTTGGTGTCAAAGGAGTTGATACACTGTTACAGCCTAGTATATCATACTTTTCTAATAGCTGTTTTATTTTCCTTGTTTGGCTTATCACATATCCTCCCTGTTTTGGTTTTCTTATCTCCACACCTAGATAATTCTTTATTTCCCCTAGGCCTAGGCTTTTTAATTGAAACTTCCTTTCAGGTTGTTTGACAAAGGAGTCAACCTGGGAGCGATTCTTAGTAATAAAACACAAGTCATCAGCATAAGCTAACAGGAAACACTCTGCATCCTTATACTGTGCAGTGTACAAACATGGATCTTCCTTGCTGCTTCTAAAATCTAACTCTTTGAGAGCAGCATCTAAACACTGATTCCAGTTTCTTGCTAACTGTTTTAACCAATATATGGCTTTATTCAATTTATATACATATCCAGGGTGCTTAGTTTCATAACCTGGAGTTTGTGCTATATATATGTTTTCTTCTAATTCAGCGTTTAAATATGCAGTGGTAATATCGAAATGATATATGGTATAATTGCGTGCAGCTGCTAAAGCCAATGCTAGTCTTATAGTCTCACCTGTTACTGTTGGTGCAAACACTTCATCATAATGAATGTTTTTTCTCTGTGTAAATCCTTTTGCAACTAATTGTGTCTTATATTGCAGTTCATTATTGTGTAAAACCTTCTTTTTATATACCCATTTGCAATCCACAGCCTTTGTTCCTTCTGGTAATCTCATAAGGGTAAACACTTGATACACATTCATAGATTCCATTTCTCTGTCCATAGCCTCCTTCCATTTATCTTGTTCTAATTTAGGCAATAATAACATATCTTGGTAATTACAGGGTTCATATGCTTTAACCCCACTTGCTGAGAACCGATCAGGAGGTATACGTTCAGACCTCCTCGGTATCATCTGTTCCTGTGTTTTTGTTACTTCTCTCTTTACCTCGGGTTTATCCTCTTCTATTCCTACTATTTCTGACCTGCTATTCTGTTCTTCCTTCATTGGGCTTTGTGTAGTCTCTCCTTCCTGAGAACTAGCACTACGTGTTGGTATGGACACCTCGGTGTTAGCATGCACCCTGTCCCAATTGTTTTGTTCTACAAAACTAGCAGACCTTGAAATCACAGCCTTCTTTATTCCATCTGTGAATCTATAACCTCTGGAACCTGGCTCATATCCAACAAACCTAAGTTTCCTGGACTTTTTCTGTCCTTCTTGTGCTTTTGGGAATATGCATCCAGGCATAATTGCCAAATGTCCTTAGGTGAGCCAATGAAGGTTTCCTTCCATACAACAGGCAATATGGAGTTTCATTGATAGCAACACTCCATATCCTGTTTACTAGATAGTTGGCTGTTTTCATGGCTTCCCCCAGTATGTTTTACTCATTCCTGCATCTGCCAGCAGTGAATCTTTCATGGTTTGCAATACACCATTCCTCCATTCAGCCACACCATTTTCTGCTGGCGAATATGGATTTGTACATCTATGCTTTATGCCTAGGTTCCTCAACTACTTTTGGAAATTGTCAGACATGAACTCTGTTTCCCTTATCTATTTGCAGCTGGCATACTTTATGGCCATATCTTCACTCTACAAAGTTCACTCATTGCCTAAATGTTGTAGGACTTCTGTTTTGCTTTTTAATAAATAGAAAAACCCATATCTGGTTTAGTCATCTACTAAGACTAGTACGTACCTAGCTCCACCTAGAGAGTGTGCCATAGGACCAATTAAATCAGTGTGCACTGTTATGGAAAAAACCCAATGAAAAGAATACAAGACAGCAACACAAAACAATAATTCTTACTTTAAGATTCAGAGGTTTATTTTGCTAATAATTTGGAATATAGCAAGCATAATAACACAACATCACCTACATTAATAACCCATTGCAATGAGGTCCATGGTTCAATACTTTGTCCATGAGGCCTGATTTAGTTCACCAGGGCTTAAATCTTGCATAAAAGAACAATAGTCAATATTTTCGTTTTCCACAGTCCCCACTTCTTGTCCATAAGGACAACACAAAACAGAAGCAAAAAGATAAGATTAGAGGTATTCTGGGGTAAAAAGTCTACAATAGTTTTATAGGGGCATGTAAAGAAAGTATTTTATTGGGAAACACATACAACCTCAGTAGGTTTAATTAAAGAATACAAATGCCAATAAACTATAGTCCATACAGCAGGCACGAGGCATTTTTCTGATGCAGATCATTTCCTTCATGCGCCTCTGGGCTTCTATGGTGTTCTAAAAGGTGGTCAAGGCAGGGAGAACACAGACAACTGAAGAACTTTACATCCTCCTCAAAGGGAGGTGTATCAGAGTTCACTTCTTGGTGGTGCTGTCTGGGCTGAGATTGTATGCTGGTGGGGAGCAGAGGTTACTAGCACTTGCTCTCCTGTCAGGCAAAGCTTCAATCTTTGCCTAGGTGTAGCCATGTGATTGGGGCTGGATGTCTTCCTCATCTGGGGCTGGTGCTTTCTTGCAATGCAAAACATGCATCCAGGAAGCCAGCTTTTGACACTTTACAGCAGTGTTGGTGGTCAATAGAATCTGGAACGGTCCCTTTCAACAAAGAGCTAAACATTATTATTATTATTTTTTGCTGAAATACTTTAGTCAGAACTTGATCACCAATCTTCAAGGCATAACAAAGATGTAGTGGTTCCTTGGGTGGAGCAGTTGTCAGGGAAGCTGAAATATCTCAAACAAAATCTTAATAGGTGGGAAAAGGGAAAGGAGAAGAAGGTAGAAGGAGAGGAAGGGGAGGATATTGTGACAGGAGCAAAGTTGCTTGCCACTGGCATGACTTGCACTGATCTCCTGTGAAAGCAATGATGAAAACTTAGCATTAGTCCAACATTGCATCCTTTGACATGTGGATGTCTTATAGAGAAGCTGACAGTCTCATAAACCTCACAGACACACACAAAATAAACTCAGAATAACAGATTTTTTCTCCTCACTTTACAAGTTTATTTCCCCTTTTTCTACGTTTTTCCTCTGCCATACGTGAACCATGACCCAGTTTTTGGTAGCAAAGCATAAGCATTCTAACTTCATTTTTGTACTTCCTCTACTTACAGTTTTGGCTGATATTCAACTGCTAGCTGCCTACCTGATATTAAAGCAGCTTGAAATTTTCCATTTAGCACATATTAAGCTGTTACTTTAAAAACATAAAAATCCCATATTCTATTAAGTGTGCTTCCTTAAAAATCATACTTTAGTTTGCAATGTAATAATTTTAGCACACTGATGTTCAATTTCCCAACTCGTACTGCAATGTTCAAAGAGCACATTTCTCCCCTTTATTTAGGAAAGCAGTTTAATGTTTTAACCAAGCAAAAATTAAATTGAACAGAAACTGCACCCTCT